AGGCACAGAATCTGAAGCAGGCTCCAGCTCTGAGCTGTCAGCACAGAGCCCGACTCGGGGCTCGAACTCACGAACCTCGAGATCATGACCTGAGCCGAAGTTGGACGCTTAACCGACTGAGCCACCCAGGCGCCCTGACTATGGCCTTTTAGAGCTTAGATTGGAACCCCAGCTGTGGGACCTCAGGAAAGTGACTTCCCTTAGCCAGCTTTATTTTTCTCACCTCCAAAATGAGCATAGTTCAACCCCGTTTCCTCAGAGTTGAGAAGGTTAACAGCAGGCAATGGGCGTAAGGGATTTACTCAGTTCAGGGCTGGCAAGTAGGTACTTAATAAATGGAGTGTAGATACTAGTTTTCCCCAGTGACAAACCAGGAGAACCTAGATTCTGGAAAGGGGAAATTTGAAAGCTTGTATTTCTAATATATAGGGTAGACTACAAAGGGGACATGAATCCTCCATCTAAATTCCTCCTGCTCCCCAAATTCGAAGCCTCCAAATGTTAATTCGTTTGGTTTTCATAACCCAGTGAGGTAGGTAGCATTATTTACGAAGACAGATGGGGGACTTGGTTCAGAGAGCCTAAGTAACGTGTCCAGTGCCACACAGCACATAGGTAGCAAGGCTGGGATTCGAACCCCAGTGCCCTCGTAACCACCTTCACTCTGCTTACTCCAGAGCCCCAACCCTCGCCTGACGTTCTGCGTGAAAACCTACGAACGCCTCTTCTACATGGTGGCACCGAGCCCCGAGGCCATGCGCATTTGGATGGACGTCATCGTGACCGCCGCGGACGAGAATCACGCCCCCTGAGGGGCCCCGCCCTCCCGGGGGGCGTACTGGCGAGGCTCCGCCCCCGCCCCGCCCGCGGCCTCGCCTGCTGTTGAAAAGCCCCGGGCCCACCCCTTCGGAACTTCCGGGAATCCTGCAGGTGCCGCGGCTCGGCGGGCCCGAGCCGCGGCGTTTGGGGCTGCAGGTGCCTTCCCGCTACGGGAAGCCAGCCTCAGGGGCCCTGCCCCGGGCAGGAGGAAGATTGCAGGGGCGGGAAGGAACTATTTATTGGTGCTCCTGTGATACCGAATTAAACACGGAGGAAAACAGTGATTGCTGCCGTGGTTTCTAGCACAGGCGTCCTGGGCCCCTTCCTAGGCAGGATGTCCGAGTTATAGGTATCTCTGAGCGCGAAGCATCCCACGGCCGGTTCTCCTCTCTTTAGGAATGGAGGACTTCATGATTAAGGTCAAGGCGGGGAGAAGGAGGTGGGGAGGCATGCGTCTTTAGTCTTTGGTAATTTTGCTATTTTCAGTTTGTGGGACCCGCCCCCCCCTCCCGCTTCCACCCTTTTTGACTTGACTGAGCTCTTGGCAATTTCTAGGAACTTCTAGGCTCCTGGCCTCCAGGCCTTGGCACATAATTATTCCCTGTACCCTGCCCTTGACCAGCTAGCTCCTCCTTCCTCAGGTCTTCTTTGGGATGTCCCCTCCTTCAGGAAGCCCTTCGTGGCTCCCTCAGCTGGGCCAGGCATCCCACTTTGAGCTCCCCTCTCCCATCCCTGAACACCCTAGGTCATCACTGGTAATGGGTTTGCGTCCCTTATGGACTGGGAGTCCCATGAGGTCAGAACCAGAGGTGTCCTGGTTACTGCCATGTCCTCAGCACCATAGGACACGTTTCATTCCATGAAAGTGGAGGAAAAATGCTTCCCTTTCACCTCTTGGTCTTTGTTCATACTGTTCCTTTTGCTTAGGCACTTTTCCTCAGTCCACCCTACTACTCATCACTTAGGTCATAGCTCAGGTGGTTCCTTCTCCAGGACGCCTTCCCTGACTTTCCGGGCTGAGACAGGTGCTTCCTCTGGGCTTCCTCTGTGCCAGCCCTGATCACTCTGCCTGTGCTTCTCCCATCACAGCTTTGAAGACACTGGGTCCTCACTGCTGATGAGCGTGTCTTCCTGTGCTGAATGGGAGTCCCAGGAGGCAGGGGTTGGGGCTGTTTGGGTCACTACTGAGTCCTTGGCACAAGCTCTAAGTGCAAACAAGGTGTTGAAGGAATGTCTGCTAGCTGAATAAACTGACGAGAAAGAGCTGCTGAGGACTGAGGGACAGTGGAGAACAGTCAGACAAAGGGCTCTTCATTCTTTAGATCTTCCTCAAGGTGCTCCTCCTTCAGGAAGCCCTCCTTGATCCACAGTCCCCTGGGATCACTCTGGCGTGGACCACTCACCAGAGTGTAGAGACAGGTCTTCACCCACTGGGAAGACCTCTCTGGAAGTAGGTACTCAGTCCCTCTGGTCCCCATTTCCCCAGGACCTAGGTGTCCCGTTGCAGGATTTTTTGAGGATCCAGATGTGCTCCTGAGTCCTGGGAATGCAAACACCCCAATCCTCAGGCCCTCAGGGATCCCCGGTGTCCCTTGGCCTTCACCTCCAGGTGCGAGACATCTGGATTCTTGGATCAATCCATTCCCAGCCCCTCTACAAACTGAATGCTCACAAGAGCTGGAATTGTTAATTTTCTCTCTCTCTCTCTCTCTCTCTCTCTCTCTCTCTCTCTCTGTGTGTGTGTGTGTGTGTGTTTTGGAAAGAGAGAGAGAGAGCACATGAGTGGGGGAGAGGGACAGAGGGAGAGAGAGGATCCAAAGCAGGCTCTACACTGAACGATGAACATAGAGCCCGACGCGGAACTCGATCTTACAACTCTGGGGTCATGACCTAAACTGAAATCAAGACTCAGACACTCAACCAACTGAACCACCCAGGCGCCCCCTTAATTTTCTTTTTGAATTTGTGTTTTGTAGGTGAGGTAGGAAGAGATATCATGCATTGAGTTGGAGGGATTGGAACCTTGGCTCACACAAGGTTCCACCTCCTGCCACCTCCCACCTCCCTGGGACAGGTTCTGTCTGCCCTACCCTCCCTGCCCCTGCTCTGTGATCATTGCCACCCTCCAGCTTCCGCAGGGCCTGGGTGCACCTGGGACAATCAGGGCCATGCGCTTGTGCCTCATGGCGTCTCAGGGTGGGGCATGGCAGCGGGCAGCTGCACACTAGAAGGGGAGCCCAGCAAACCAATCGCTCTGGTTGCGGGACAGGGTCTGTAGGCACCTGTGAAGGTCTGGGCTCTCAAGCGCCCAAGATGTTTGTCTTTGGGAACATGACATTGAACACCAGGAGGGGTGGAGAAAGATGGCAGAAGAAAGGAAAAATGCAATTCTGTTTTAGTACCTTTAATGGCACTCTTTCCTGCCTTTTGAACCCGGTCCCCCTATTTACATTTTGCACCAAGCCTCACAAATTAGGTAGCCAGCCCTGCCCCTTGACCCCACCCCTTCCCAAATTGTGTGTCCCAGAGGCAGTGGGTCTGAGACAGGCTGGGAATACCACTGGCCTCCGAGCCTGCCTTGGCCCAGGGGACAGGAAAACATAGTAAATTGGGCCCCAGGGTTGTCTGAGGCCCAGGCATGACCTCCACGGCCAGAGAGCTGCCTCCACGTTGACCCCTGCGTCCACCTCTCTGGGGAACCAGATTCTAAATCACTTTGCAGTGACCTCCGTGAACAGGAGCAGGGAAGAGTAAGTGGAGGCCCCACATTCACACCTCCCTCTGCTCTCTGGTCTTGGGCCAGGTGGGGGTCAGCGCCCGGGATCCAGGCAGGCCTGAGCAAGAGGAGGCTCCCCACCCTTGGGTACCACTCCCTCCCAAGATGCTAGTTCTTCTGGTCTGGCCAGCTGGGGTTCCTCCCTGAAACTCTCCCACGCGGCTGGAGCCTACAGGGCCTCCTGCTCCTGAACGCACAATAGTTACAGTATTATTACCCTGCCTCATTCTATGTCTCAGGAGATAGGGGTTTTCAGACCCTTTTGGCAAAGGAAGCAGCTGAAGTTCAGAGAGGGAGTCCCAGTTGCTCAAGGTTACACAGCAAGAGGGCGCAGGCAGAATTCAGTTTTCAGGTTGTCTGATGCCAGAGTTGATACTTTGCCCACTGCCTCATCCCACCATGAAAGACACTCCTTCCTTTATTATAAAACAGATATCTCAGAGCCTCAGAGAGGTGAAGACACTTTCTCAGGGTCACACAGCAAACCGTAAGTGGGGCTGGGATTTCAAGGCTGAGAGGCAGGGGCCCATGCTGGATGACTTCAGAAGTAGTCATTCACTTTCTCTCTGTGAGCCTCAGCATGATCCCAAGTGACCCCACCTATATGACTGAGGCGCTAGTCATTATTGGGAATGGGGGTGCTGAACAGGGTCTGGGGAACAGGTAATATTTTTATGAACACAGCTGCTCGTTTTCCCAGCAGAGATAAATCATCTGAGCCGGCAGAAACAAAGGAAGGTGAGAGATGTAACTTATATAATGATGTAATATAGTATATAATATAAATAATACATAGTCTATAAATACTATAACATAACAGTATAATATACCATAACATAGCAGTCACTTATATTGGCCTGGATATGGGGACGCTTAGTCATTTTGTGGTTTGCACAATGTTCTTGTTTGTTTCTGAATTCAGACACGGTAATGCAGCGGTCTTGAGTGTCTCGCTCCCCCAGGTCACAGCGTGGCCCCGTCTGTGTTAGGGTGTAACAGAACACCATGGCCTCGCTGTGGGTGCCTGGCCAGCTCCCTGCTGTCCGGGGATGCTTTTCTTCCTTACCTGGAAGACTGTCCAGCATCCTCACTGGTCTGCTGCATTTCTCTCTCCTTCCAGAGTCTTGTCCTGCTTTACACAGAGGCCACAGTGACATTTCTTCTTTCTCCCCACCCCCTACTTCCTTTTTTAATAATGTACACTTAGTGAAATATGTAAGTATACAGCTGGGTAATTCTTTTTTTTTTTTTAAGTTTATTTATTTATTTATTTATTTGTTTAAAAAAATTTTTTTTCAACGTTTATTTATTTTTTGGGGGACAGAGAGAGACAGAGCATGAACAGGGGAGGGGCAGAGAGAGAGGGAGACACAGAATCGGAAACAGGCTCCAGGCTCTGAGCCATCCGCCCAGAGCCCGACGCGGGGCTCGAACTCACGGACCGCGAGATCGTAACCTGGCTGAAGTCGGACGCTTAACCGACTGCGCCACCCAGGCGCCCCGAAGTTTATTTATTTATTTTGAGAGAAAGAGAGCGCGATCAGGGGAGGGGCAGAGAGAGAGAGAGAGAGAGAGAGAGAGAAAGAGAGAGAGAGAGAGAGAGAGAGAGAGAGAGAATCCCTATCTGCATTGTCAGACCCGCCAAGGGGCTCGAACTCACAAACTGTGAGATCATGACCTCAGCCCAAATCAATAGTAGGATGCTTAACCGACTGAGCCACCAAGGCACCTCTATAGCTGGATAATTCTTCACATATTTGTACACACATGTAACTATTGCCTGTGTGAAGATAGTGGGGGCTCATCACTATTGCCCCTTTGGGACAAGGTAACCCCTGTTCTAGAACCTCATGTAAATGGAGTTCACTGTATGTTTTATTTGGGTAAGTCTCCTTCTCCTTCTTCTTCTTCTTCTTCTTCTTCTTCTTCTTC